GACCCCCAGAGCAACCTGGAGCTGAGCAGTTCTCCCAGCCATCCTCTGACCCAGGAATGCCAGCACCCCCTAAAGAGATCTCCACCTCCAGCGATGGAGGGCCAGCACTGTCCCTCAGCCTGGGTGGGCGTGGCATTGGTCTGATGCAAGAGCTTTGGGGTCAAGCCTGACAAGCAGTCCTCATCTTAACAAGTGAAAATTAGCCCAGCCGGGCGTGGCTCAGCGGTTGAGCATCGACCTAGGATCCTAGGCCATCGGGGTTCGATTCCCGGTCAGGGAACATGCTCGGGTTGCGGGCTCAATCAATGACTTTCTCATCATTGATGTTTCTATCTCTCCCTCTCCTCTCCTCTCTCTGAAATCAATAAAGATATAGATTTTTTTTAAAGAAGTGAAAATTAAATGGAACATAAGGTTCATTTCAAGTTCCTCAGAAGGAGGGATCACTGCAAAGGTGTAAGTTGCTTTCCGTTGAAAATAACATATATTAGATTAGAAATAATAGTTACATTTCCAGAAGGATTAAGTGGGAACCTATTCTGGTCCTCATGACATCCAAAATTTCCTAGTAGCCTGCCTGGCCATTTAAGAGGAAACCATGAATACTCTTTGACTCCTGTAATTCACAGTTTAGCAGGTCCAGGGTTTTTCAAGCTTCCCCTGAGGTTCCCTGAGGCAGAGGGATCCTGCACTGATCTCGAAGGGCTGCCCTCTTGTGGTCGCCTGAACACATGCTGCTAAAGCTTTCTGGCACCTGCACACCTGTCTCTTCAAATCAAAGGGAACAGAGCCCAGGAACTTACTTCTCCCACCAAAGGGGAAAGTGATGGGGGGTGGCCACACTCAGGGGTTCCCACAGGACTGAAACCTTTGCTTTGACGGCTGTTGATTCATTGATGTTGTGCGCACAGAGGAGGTAAGAGAAATCATTGAGACAGGAATATTGATTTTTCTAGACTTTGTTAAAGACAAAATCGGAGAAGTAAGAAAGAGAACAGGTTTATGTATATACCTATATACACTGTATGTGTATATGTACATGTATTTTATTTTGCTCCTCTGTCCTGTAGACGAGCAGGAAGAACAGGCCTGGTCCTGGCTCCATGATGACTGGTGTGTGAACTTGGGTAGGTAGCAACCTTTAATTTTTCTTTTTTTAATTCTCACTCAAGGATATTTTTTCCATTGCTTTTCAGAGAGAATGGAAGTGAGAGACAGAGAGAGAAATATCGATGTGAGAGAGACATGTCAATTGGTTGCCTCCCGCACACACCTCAACCTGGGCCCGGGAGCGAGCCTGCAACTGAGGCACGTGCCCTTGGCCAGAATAGAACCTGGGATCCTTCAGTCTGCAGGCCAACGCCCTAACCACTGAGCCAAACCGGTTAGGGCGGTAACAGCCCTTCAGGGCCTCAGCTGCCTCACTGTAAAATCATGTCATTGACATCTGAAATGAATAAAAACATATTGAATGCAAACTGTAATTTAAAAAATAAAATTTTTTAAATCAGCAAAAACCCCCACAAAAAAGTGATGTCCCTGCCTATTCCAAATTCTGGTTCCACTTAAAACAAAATAGAAGAGAAACCTTCTCCAGCACTCATTTCACGTGCATATTTTCTAACAAAGAACTATCACTTTGGATTATTTAGGTGCTGCCCTCTTTCTGCACTCGTTGGGATTTTCATATTATGGTGAAATGTTTCATTTTTCTTTTTCACTCTCAGTCAAGGGCCACCCAGCGCCCTTAGCCTCCTAGTGCATCCGAGAAAGATGGGCCGATGTTAGATGGGAAACCTACAAGAGCAGTTTCTCTAAGACCATGACGAGCGTCCAAAGCCTGATGAGCAAGCACAGATGGCACAAGTGTGGGCAGAGGGGATTTTTCCACTGTGGCATTTGTGGGGACCATTTGTGCTGAGTGGACACAGTGGCCCAAGTACCAAGCCAGCCCAGCCCACATCCTGCCGGAGAAGGGGGCATGCCTGGGAGGGTGGCGTGGGGACATCGGCAGCGATAGGAGACACTGGTCCTTGCCAGCGGCTCTCAGCAGCCCTGATGGTAGAGCAGGTGTGGGCTGAGGAGAGCAGCTCCATACAAAAGGAAATAGCAGAGTCCAGCTCTCCACAAGACAAGCGAGACACCCCTGGACTCCCCCAAACCACTGGGAGGAATGTAAGGAGGTGCCGTTCCTTTACATCTATGTCCTGGGGGGATTCTGTACGGTTGATGGGACCTATTTCTACCCACAGGCTGGTATATGAGGACAGAACATGGATTTCAGAATTTAGGACGAATTAGAGGATGTGCCCATCAACTGACGCACACTCTATGCTGATCCTGCTGCCTCTAGGGATTTGTTTGACTTACTTATTAGACAAACTTCAAGCATATACAGAAATAGAGAAAATAGTATAATGAGGCCCCACGTACTTAAAAAATTATTACTACATTACCAGTCTTGATTCCTCTGGCCCGNCTGCCTCTAGGGATTTGTTTGACTTACTTATTAGACAAACTTCAAGCATAACAGAAATAGAGAAAATAGTATAATGAGGCCCCACATACTTAAAAAATTATTACTACATTACCAGTCTTGATTCCTCTGGCCCGCTTCCTCCCAATGTTATTTTGAGGTAAATACCAGATATTTATATTTTTCAGCATGCATCTAACGGGTAAGGAGTCTTTTAAAAACATAACCACATACCATTATCGCATTAAAAAGTTAATAAGCNTCAGCATGCATCTAATGGGTAAGGAGTCTTTTAAAAACATAACCACATACCATTATTGCATTAAAAAGTTAATAAGTCCTAAATATCATTGAATACCCAGGCAGTGTTCAAACGTCCCATTGTCTCATAAATGTTACATGTTCTCTTACAGTTTGTNTAACCACATACCATTATCGCATTAAAAAGTTAATAAGCCCTAAATATCATTGAATACCCAGGCAGTGTTCAAACGTCCCATTGTCTCATAAATGTTATATGTTCTCTTACAGTTTGTTTTAGAATCCAAATAAAGTCCAGGCAGGCTATAAACCCTCAACTTCTATGTTGAATAATATATTGAAACAAAATCTAGAACAAAATTGAATTTCTCTAGCCCCACTTTATGTTTTATGAAATTGCAATAGTGAGGAGGGTATTTTTTTTCCCCCTTATAAAAAAAAACTTTGGGAANTATCCCCACTTTATGTTTTATGAAATTGCAACAGTGAGGAGGGTATTTTTTTTCCCCCTTATAAAAAAAACTTTGGGAGGCTATGTTAGTAATTGGGAAGCTATTTCCAAGGGCCCCAGTTTTCTAGCCTCATAACTGGAAGCACTTGGCGATTTGAGTGCCCAGCAATGTTGGCAGGCCAGTCATTTCCCGCTGGGGACCATCTGGATTGTAGCTTTCCTCCCGTAAATGTCACCGGCCCTCAATATCTCCTCTGGGGCCTAACTTAAGTCAGAGGGTTCATGTGTCGAATCAGCCAGCAGAGGGCGCCCGAGGAACTCAATGCACTTGGGAGTTCTCCCCAAACCCACCTTGGAGCCGTTTCATTACATACTGAACGCGTCAGGGTGGGGCTTGTCTCCTAATTCAGGTCAAATTCTGCCAGCAGAAGGGACCAGACCTCAGGGAGATGTGGCTTGTTCCCCAGGGCTGGCTGGGAAAGGACAGGGTTAGCTTGCCAATTGCTCTGTGGAAGGACTCAGGTCTGCACCCCCCTCCCCTCCCGTGGTCTTCCTTGAACAGCCACTAGATGGCAAAGAGAGCATACACTGATGGGGGGCATTCTGAGCTGAAAATCTTCTCGAAGCCCCATGATTATTAGTAATTTTTTCACTTATTAAGTACACAAAGAGAGTGTTGCTATAAGCAATGTCAGACATGTAAGTAGGGATGGTTAACGTGAAATTACACACTCAGGGGGAAACCTGGGCCTCCAGATGCTCCGTCCGGCCTCACAACTCCCCATCTCTAGGTCTCATTGCTGGAAACTGAAGGGGCTGGGACAGTAGCCACTTGCGAGGGTCTCCTGCCAATCCCTTGGGAGTTTTTGTTGGAGAGCTGTGTTGGCAACAAAGAACCACAAACTGGCCGGTTTAAAACAACAGAGATGTATCAGTCACCTCACTATTCTGGAAGGCTAGAAGCCCTAAGCAGGGTGTCGGCAGGTCCGCGTCCTCTTGGAGGGCTCCGGGGAGACTCCTTCCTTGCTTCTCCTGGCTCCTGGTGTTTGCTGGCCATCCTTGGGGCTCCCTGGCTTGTAGACAGGCATCTTCTCCCTGTGTGTCTTCCCTCTGTGTATCTACATCTGGGCCCAGATTTTCCCGTTTTAGAAGCACACAAGTCATTTAACTTGATCACCTCCATAAAGTCCCTCTCCAAACAAGGCCACATCCTCTTGTACTAGGGGGATTCGAATTTCATATCTTTTTGGGAGAGATACAAATGAACCCATCACAGGGACCAGGGTATAGAAAAGATGATGCTTGGGAAACTTGTAACAACAAACCCATGAATTGCGCACCCTGGTGAGACACCATCCTGAGGGTCCGAGGAAAAGTTATGAATCTATAAAGGTATTATAAAAACACTAAGACCACTATGATGAGGAAAACTACACAGCGTGATTTTAATTAGGAAAGTGAACGCCTCAACCCAAATTGCATTCAACTCACTATATTCAATGTTTTTCTATGATCACGGATACAGAAAATAAATACAGGATGAGACCAAAAATATCGGGAATTATTATTTTTTGCTAAAAAGCACATCAAGAGGTAATTATTATGTTACTAAACAGATTATCGTAGAAGTCTTTTATATAGTAAAGACTTAGAACTCTTTTATAGATGAAACTCAGGGACCTTGTATGCTATAAACACTCACAAAAGCAGATTCACGCCCCTTTCCGGGAGCACGAGCGTTCGCTACATAAACAAGGCCGCCCCTGCCTGTCCTTCGCCACCAATAAAGGGCCATCCGTTCTTTGGGTTTTGCTACGATGTTCCTGGCCCTGCAGGCACCGACCCCAGAAGGCAGCGCTTCAGCTCCTGACACGGTTTCTCAATGAAGAGCGTGAGGGCCAGCCCGGCGGTGAAGGTCAGCAAACAGTGTCCAGAGAAAAGATAGAGCTGGAGAGAAAGAGGGGCACAGCGGATTCAGTCCTACTGCAAGAGCCCCTTTGTGCTTGGATCTTCAAGTGTACCATCCTGGCTGTGGGCAATGGAACTGGAGACAAACAGCCCTAAACATTAAAACTAAAATAAAGAAAGCAAAGATATTATCCCCTGCAGAAGCCCTCCCTCAAATAAAACAAAGAACAACAGGCTCCCAGCGCCGCCACCACCAGGCCCCCTGTCGAAGCCAGTAGGGTGGCTTTGTTGCCCCAGGAGGGGACAGCGGGGGGGCTGCAGAGCCGGGAGCTGCTGACTCACCATGTTGGTGTCGGTGTAGTGAATGAGCGTCTCCTGCAGCCCATTGTAGAGGATTATGGCCACAGGGTGCGCCAAGTAGCAGGCGTAACTGATGCTGGCCAGGAAGCTCCAGGTACCCCAAGACAGCAGCTGGTTGACCGGCCCTGCGGGGAGCAGGCACCTGTGAGGACCCCATATCACCGCCCCTCTGTCTGGGTGCTGCACCTAAGACTTAGGGCCTCTTCTGNCTAAGACTTAGGGACTCTTCTGAGAAGGTCTTCATTCATTATCATTTTTAAGGGAATGCACTAAAAAACACCACAACTTCCCACTGCAGGAAGATGGGGATACGAGAAAGGCTAATATTGAGTTTATAGTCAGTTTGCTTCCTTGCTGTGGTTTTGAGCCCTGAGCACAAAGTAAAACAAGGTGCAAAGTCCTTTCGNTCAGTTTGCTTCCTTACTGTGGTTTTGAGCCCTGAGCACAAAATAAAACAAGGTGCAAAGTCCTTTCACTGGCCTGAGATCTGGTTCAAGGTGCAGCCCCGGGAGCTGCTGGGCCTTGGGATGAGGCAGCTGACGTGGCCGGGCCTCAGGCTCTTCACCCATTACTGGGGGGTCTGCATTTGATCAACTTTTAGGTCCCTTTCAGGACAGATATTCCATAACTTGGACCCAAAGTAATTCTTACTCCTTTAGGATGGGTCCAGCTACTGTTCAGGTGTGAGGACCACTGCCGTTGGTGAAAAGGAGCCACAGAAAGGTTTTAACTGAAGGAGTGACGTGGGCGACTCAACAGAGAAGACCTTGGATGGAACAGGACCAGCACGGTGAGCTTTGACACAGACTGAAGGTGAAGGAAAAGGTGACTGGAGCCACCAAGATCCCTTCTAACCCAATCGGTATGGCTCAGCGGTTGAGCGTTGGCCTAGGATCCAGGAGATCGTGGTTCAATTCCCAGTCAGGGCACATGCCAAGGTTGCGGGCTCGATCCCCAGTGGGGGGCGTGCAGGAGGCAGCCGATCAATGACTCTCATCATTGATGTTTCTATCTCTCTCTCTCCCTTCCTCTCTCTGAGATCAATAGAGATATAAAAATTTTTAAAAAGATCCCTTCTCATTCTGAGAGTCTGAATTAAACTTTTCTAGAGGTCATCAACTAGACACACATTTTCTACACTCACCATCCCCTTCCACACTCACCTACTAATCAATCTTGATATCTTAAAATAATGTTGGAGACACAAACTTAGGACATCAGTTGCACTATAATTGTGACTGGCCAATGACAACAAGCATTGCAAAAATAAATTGCTCAAGAATGAACCAAAGGGCTCGTTGGTCACCTGGATTGCCAGATATCATCCCTCCTCAGGCGGATGATTGGTGGCATTCACTAGCTCCTCTGAAATGATAAAACTGCAAGTTTGTTTCATCTTCTGACTTAACCTATGTCCTGCCTCTCTGATCAGCATGGGCAAGAGCCACTCATGCCGCCCCCAGGAGGACTCCTCCCATTAGAAGGAAGACTGCAACGTTTGCCACCCCATCATGGGTGGCCTGTGCCAGGCCAGGGGAGCACTTGCTTATGTTCTGAGGCTCTGCGAACAGCTCAGGGTGATTGTCACCAGTGGGGAGCAGTGTTCGGGTGTGGTCACATGCTCCAAACAGCTACCTGTCTATGCAAATACATGTCAGGGAAATGCAATCCATTTCCTCTTTAACATCATTTCTCCATAGAAGCCAAAGCTTTGAAAATTAAAATAATAAAGAAAAAACTCCCTCATCAGGATATAATCATAACATTTAAGAACAATTTGAATAACTAGACATCTAAGAGGGGAACTGTGGCCCAGACATGAAGAACAGGCTTTGCGCTCGGTCCCAGTTCACTGTCCAGCACAGCCACTATCCAGCTGTGCGAACTTCACTCGTCGCTTCATCTCCAGGCACCGTGTTTCTCACTGAGAAACAACTAGAGTTTTCTCTACAAGGGGGTGGCCAGTGCCACCTGGCATCCTATGGGCCAAGTTCCCCCTGGGCCTGGCGTGAGCCTGTGCCGTCAGTGGGAAGTGGTGTCAGCACCATCGCTATATCACTTTTCCCCTTCAACTGTGATTTCCAGCTCCCTTTGCTAACTGGCTTCACCAGGCAAAGTTTAAGCTCACGCTAATTCTTTCCCCCGGACATAAAGTTGTCGTGCCTCCCGCTGGCTCTGGTGGCATCGCTTCAGGGCTGCTGGGCAGCGTGGGGCCAGCAGCACCCTGGAAGCTTCCTGCCAGCCTTTTCGCTGACGACACCTCAGCACATGACTTGCACAGACATTTCCAACCTGGAGAAGATTATTTTCTTTCCATTTAAACCCCCTTTTTGCTTGATTTCCCGCACGGTGAAGACAGGGCTCAGTAGGAGCAGTTTCCCCAGTTATCAAAGGGCTGGGGGACCTTGTCAGTCTCTACCTCCAGATGAGTAAACCGAGGTCGGAGTGGGTGCCACCAGAACGCGTGTTCCCTGCACTGGGTTTGTTTTTCTCATGACCCTGCCTGTTCTCTTCCATCTAAACCAGCTTCATCGGAGAGGCCGCAAATGTTCCTTCCAGAACCTGCGTTCGTACAGAAGTCAGTGTCAAAATCTAAAACGGAACATGTGGGGTGTTTTCCCCAAGGATGTAGACAAATTGAGGTTTTGGAGTCATTCACCAGCAAACAGAAGCCCCTCTGTGCACACTGTTTTCACATTTGTCACCTTTAAAGGGACAGTGTGAGCACACGAACCTCATACCTCCATAGCCTTCGTGACATGCAAACACGACCCAGCCCACGGCCACCGCCCACAGGGTCCGGTGCAGGGCCTGGTAGACAGCAGCAGCAGCTGAAGGGGTGGCAGAGGTGTCGTCCACTGCGTACGCCACAGCGACCACCGCGAACAGGGTGGACAGGCAGGCGATCCACCCGAGCAGAGCCTGCACCTGCAGGGCAGGGAACAAGCCACTCACAGCCCGCCGGGCCACCACGCATTTGCCTCTCTACACTAACTTCCTTTTTTGTATTATTACTGTCACATTAGGTGTCTATTTATAAACCTCAGTCGGTACCCAGATTTGACTAAAGGGAGGGTTCAGATTAGTGGTTGCAAGGGTTAGGGCTGGGGCGGTGTGGGGAGAAGGGGTATGTGGTCATGGAGAGGAGGCCCAAGGCAGATCTTTGTGGTGACAGGAGATCTGTGCCTTGATTGTGGTGCTGGTTACACAAATCTACACGCGTGATACAACTGCGCAGAACTGTACACCCACCCACAAGTGAGCGCACAGAACGCCGGCGGATCCAAGGCCTGCGAGTGTGCCAATGTCAGTTTCTCGGTTGTGACGTTGGACTAGAGTGTGTGACACGTTACCAGTGGGGGGATCTGAGACAAGGGGACACAAGACCTGTGCTGGGTTTGCCACTTGCCACGGCTCTCGAATCATGTTTACATGAAAGTTAAACGAGAAAAGGAAGCTCACCTTGGTTTTGAGGACATTTGCCTGGTGGTCTTGGTGCATGAACAGGCTCAGAAAGACCCCCACGAGGAACGGCCCGAATCGGCAGTAGGGCTTCGTGTAGTACTCCGAGAAATACAACACGGTTGCATTTTCACTGAAAAACACAAGGAAGTATCACAAAAGGTTATGCTTGATCTGGACCCAGAAAAGGGAGTCTCTCAGATGCCCGCTGAGTCCATCCGCAAATCCAAAGCGAAACTTGGGGTACATTCGCCTGTTTCCTCGGAATGACCCGCGAACAGTGACCTTGTGACCCTGCTGTGGGCCACAGCTGGTTTGCTAAAATGCCAGGTTCCCTCGGGCTCCTCCACCCTGGGTCCCAAGGAAATATGATGGTGGTGTTCATTTTCAATAGTTGTTTCTGGGGGGGGGGCTGGTGTGTCAGGATAACTTGAAAAATGAGGTCTTGACCTGGCCAGCGTGGCTCAGTGGTTGAGCATGGACCCATGAACCAGGAGGTCACAGTTTGATTCCCAGTTGGGGACACATGCCCTGGTTTCAGGCTCGATCCTCAGTGGGGGTGGGGGTGCGTGCAGGAGGCAGCAGATCCATGTTTCTCTTTCATCATTGATGTTTCTCTCTCTCTCTCTCTCTCTCTTTGTCTCTCTTCCTCTTTCTGAAATTAATAAAAAATATATTTAAAAATAAATAAATAAAAATGTGATTCTCAGAAGTGAACCTCTTCTGAAAGAAGTGAATCTCTTCCTGGAAGCTCATACAAAATCTGGTTGCCTGGACCACACCCCAGTAATTCCATTGGTCTGAGATGGTGCTTTCTGGGAACATCAGTGGGATTTGAAAGCCCCCTAGGGGTCTCTCATGTGCATTAAGAGTTGAGAACCACTGGGCGAGAAAGGGGTGAGTCTCCTCTCCATTACCTGGCCATGCCCACAGAGGCCAGTGACATGACGGAAGGGTTGATGCTCCCCTGGTTAAAAGGTCTAGGGTGTAGTCATTCATCCATTCGTCTCACTCACAAATACATATTGAGCACTTATGTGCCGGGGATGGTTCTGGGCTATTGTATATCCGGTGGTCAGCGAAGGCTGCTCTGAGAAGGTGGCATTTGCACAGACACCTGTAGGAAGTGAAGATGCATGCCCTGCCAAGATCTAAATTCTAAGGGAACAGCTAGTGCAAAGGCCCTGAGGAGGGAGCATGGGTGATGTATGGATGTAAGGAGGCCATGTGGCTGGTCCAGAGTCAGCAAGTAGGGGAGTGATGGGTGAGGCCAGATCACTCTGGTTTGAGAGCAATGGGTGGCCACTGGGGGAACTTGAGCAGATGACTGGCAGGATCTGATTTTCATTTGCATCGCTGACTGCTGTATTGAGAATAGATCAGCAGGTAATTGTACCCATTTATCTTGTTTAATACACAAGGTGGGTATAAGGAAGAATTGTTAGATGTACCTCATTAGGGAGGCAAAATAGCACAGTGCGTAAGGTCCTAGGTTCAACTCACACCTATGCCACTTACCAGCTGTGTGGCCTGGAAGGGGTAACCCCAACTTCCTCAAATTTCAGTCTCTCCATCCAACAACAGAGCCTCCCAGCAGCAAATTGCCACTGGAGGAAAAACACAATACAGCCACATGGTGGCACTCCTTTCCTCCGAGAAGCATGTCAGCGGCAAGAGGGCCCCCCCCCCCCTTCCTCCAGTGCAGGTTGAAAGGTTCAGAAGTTTGGAAACAAAAGTGCCATCAGCTTTTCCATCTGGGCTGAACATTTCCCGCCCAGTTTTTCCACAAGTCGCTGTGCACAGTGCAAACAGCCTGGCGTTCATTGCCCAGCCCTCCCGGGAGGTCCTGGCCATTCCCAGGGCAGGCAAGGGGCACAGCGGGCAGGCTGGGAGCCCGGTTACCTTGCTTCTGAGGGCGCTGCCACGGGAAGGTCGTGAGCCAGTGTGAGCAGAGCAGTGGCAGTGAAAGACGCCAGGAACAGCGCGGCCCCGAGGAGGGCAAGGACGTGTTTACTTCTGCAAAGAAGAGAGGACGTTGACAAGAGCGCTCTTCAGCCTCCTTCACCACAGCATCTGTGGAGGCCGGAGACTTGAGACTTGGCAAAGGTTAGGCTGCCGCTCAGAGAGGCTGACGTGGCAGCTCTAGCCGAGGGGGCGAGAGCTGCGCTGGAGTTGCAGGAGCGGTTAGCTTTCAGGCTTCACCATTTAATAGCTGCAGGACTCTGAGCAGGACCTTGAACTTCGGTGTCCTGTGTACAAAAAGGATCGTCAAGGCGTCCTTACCTGCCTCACCCTGAAGTTTACTGTGCAGCCCAAAAGGAGACCATGCTTGGGAATGTCCCTTGTCGCCTATGAAGCTCCACACAGACATAGTGGTGGTTGACTTAGGAGAGAAATGAGCTGTGGGAGGCAGGTGGGACACGGGTGCACAGGTACCCACTCCAGGCAGAGGGGAGGGGGGTCCCCCACCCAGAATCTGAGACAAATATCTGGGAGCAGGTAGGTTGTGTTGGGGTGGAAGTGAGGGATCGGGTAGTGAAACAGGGAAGCAGGGAAATAGGGGAATTCAATGCAAGGATGAGCTATCAAGGTGGCTGATGCTCAGTTCTTCTTGAATGTTCTGCAGAGTCTTATGAAATGCACCTGAAGCCTGGCCAGCATGGTTCAGTGGTTGAACCAGGAGGTCACCGTTCCATTCCTGGGGAGGGCACTTGCCCAGGTTGGGGGTTTGACCCCCCGTAGGAGGTGTGTAGGAGGCAGCTGATCAATGACTCTCATCACTGATGTTTCTCTCTCTCTCTCCCTCTCCCTTTCTCTCTCTGAAATCAATTTTTTAAAAATGCACCTGAAAACTGTCCTAGGGGATGAAAGAGGGAAGCATTTCTCTACTGTTTTCTGTCCCCTGTAGGTCAAGGGTAGCCCCATACAAATGAATTCCTGCATGTGCTGGGATTGTGTATGTGCAAGGCAGAGAGGGCTCCTGAAGGAGTCCCAGCTGTAGGATGTAGGAGGCTCTAGGGCAGGAAATGAGATTTGGGGACCCAGGCTCAGAGCAAGCCACCATCTGGTTGTACCTACTAGGAACTGGGAGGGGTGGGACTGAGAGGACGTGCAGTGATCCTCTGCAATGGAAATGCCAATCGCAGGTATAAGACGCTCCAGGCACGGCCCTACCTGGATGATGCCTATTCCACTGCTTGAAGTTGCCGTGGTTCTTCATGAGGAAGAGATGAGACACCCTTCACTTATCATCATAGTGATACAAGGGGGAAATGCTTTTCATCCAGAGTGTTAATTCTAGAGTAGTAATAATGCTTGGAATGGAGGTGGAGACTTAGCTCAGTGGTGCTGTGATTGATTAGCACTGTTTGCAGTGGGTGTGGGCAGGGGAGTTATGGTAACAATGCTGTATATGGACCTTGCCTTTTGCCAGACCCTCTAGTTCTGTCCTTAAATTACTGGCATTCTGTGCTAGTTTATTCTCTGAAGGAAAAAAAAGCCTACTTTTTATTCCTGCCTTCATTCAAAAGCTCAGTGTAGCTGCATAGCCACAGGCTTGGATCATGCTGGCTTGGGGCCAGGGGTAGAAATCTGCTTCCACCACAGCCTCTAGGACAGATGTTGACACTGGGATCAGGTCTCGTCAGTCACAAGGACACTCGAGCAGTTTCTCACCAGCTGTGAAGTAGTAGGTTACCAGGAACTGATTGTCCTAGGTGGGCAGTAAACCGTCCAGTCAGGCCATCTAATAAAAACTCACATTCACCCAAGTCCATATTTGTCTAACTTCCTGGGGGACTGGAATCCTATCTGTAGCACCTTCTCTCAGGAGTCAGACAAGTCTCCACTAGCCAACTTCCACTACAACTAAACAAATAAAGCTTCCTGACATAGACTGTTGTGCATTGGATTGTGTCTCCCTAAATTCTAACCTCCAGCACCTCAGACTGTGACTTTATTTGGAGGTAGAGTCTTTAAAGAGATAATTAAGGTGAAGGGAGGTGATTGGAATGGGACCTACTCCAATATGAGTGACTGGTGCCCTCCAAAGAGGTTAGGACACAGACTCACACAGAGGGAAGACCATGTGGGACACCAGGAGCAGACACTATCTAGAAGCCCAGAGGAGAGGCCTCAGAAGAAACCAATCCTGCCGACACCTTGATCTCAGATTTCTAGCCTCCAGGCTGTGGGGAAATAAATGTCTGTTGTTTAGGCCACTTAGCTGTGGCACTTTGTCACGGCCGCCGGAGCAGACTAGTCCACAGAGCTACCAAAACAGCCAGACAGGAAGATAGTGACCCACGCCCAGAGCCCCCAAGTCCCTAACCAGGGCCTCTGCCCACAGTACAGAAAGCCTGGTGCTGAGGTGTCCCCTCAGCCAACGCAGGTCAGCAATGGTATTTTCTGGTTCTTTGAAGAAACTGCTCCCAGGACAGTGGGACTGAGAAAGGCCCAGAGCGTTCATACTAACCAGCACCCCCATTCTCTCAGGAATATGGGTCCCTCGGGAAGGCCGTAGCCCAAGAGGAGAAGGAATAGCAGAATGTCTCCTTCTGGTCTGACAAGACCCTGGGCTGCCTCGAAGGCCTCTGTCTGCCCCCAGCATCCTGGCCAGGTCACCTCACAGGATTCATCTTGCCCTTTCTTCACAAAATACTGTTGGAGCAGCCACTGGGAACGCCACCTCTGAGAAGCCTGGGGAGGCTTGCCCTCCTCTGCCAGGCTGCCAGGCTGCCAGGGGGCACACCTGCCACACCTGTCCCTGCAGGCACTTGGCGAGGGGTCAGAGCCCTTCCAGGGGCCTTCGCCCAACACAGAGCAGAGCCGGCGACAGCCCCAAAGCACTGGCCGGCCTTGGCTCTGCTGGGCCCAGCTGCTCCCCCCACCCCCCACTCCACTCTCAGGGAGCTCGTGGGTCTGAGTTTCTTGCCAGAGGGAGAGTCCACCCCATGAGGAGCCCCAGCAGCCCTGAGTGTGTCTCAGCTCCTCCTCCAGGA